TGGATCCATGTGAGGGGGGGGCCGACAGGGCCCCTGCCGCCACTAGCAAGGCTGGACTCTGACCCTGGGGACTCCTTACTGGCAAACGTCCTGCAACGATGAAGGACTGGACATGGCCCCCAAGACACCTCCAGGGAGCCAGAGACACCCCTGGCCCAGCCACTTAGGGAGGACAGGCTGGAACTCCTCCTAGCAGCCCTGTGGGCCCCCTGTGCAGGCCTGCAAGAGGCTGCATGGGCACGGGCTCCCTGCCGACTCATGGCAGAGCTGTGCTGATGCAAAGCCCCAGGGGAGCCAGCAGTCCTGGCACATGCTGGCTCCTGGGCAGCGATGCTAACGCAGCCCGACAGGTGGCATGGCTGGTATGCGGCCGCCCGGGGCTGCAGATTCAAGGCTGGCTCCCTAAGGGGAGAGGCACTGCCTGGCGCCACGAGGCAAGGCAGCACCCACAACGCAGCAGAGGGGCCCTGCCCTGGCCCAGGGCTGAACGGCAACCCTGCCAGCCAGCCAGCCCCAGCACGCAGCATCTTTTCCCAGCGGCCACAGACCCATCTGTGCCCCTCTGGCCAGCCCTGGAGGACAGCCCTGCCAGGCTGGACAGTCGCCAGGGCCCACGGGAGTCCGGGCTGCTCCGGCCAAATTCACAGCAGAGCTGATGCCAGCCTGCCGCCCGCTGCCAGCAGCCCGGGCCTGGCCGGCTCTGCGGCCCCCGCCAGCACCCCCAGCACTCACCCGGCTGAGGCTGTGCGGGTCGAGCTCATCCTGCGGGATGCCGTAGTTGCCCACGAGGGGGTAGGTCAACACCAGGACCTGGGACTTGTAGGAGGGGTCGGTCAGGGCCTCACAGCAGAGCTGATGCCAGCCTGCCGCCCGCTGCCAGCAGCCCGGGCCTGGCCGGCTCTGCGGCCCCCGCCAGCACCCCCAGCACTCACCCGGCTGAGGCTGTGCGGGTCGAGCTCATCCTGCGGGATGCCGTAGTTGCCCACGAGGGGGTAGGTCAACACCAGGACCTGGGACTTGTAGGAGGGGTCGGTCAGGGCCTCGGGGTAGCCCACCATGCCGGTCTGGAACACTGCGGGGCGGCGGCGGCGGCGTCAGCGGCTCCCCGGGGCGGCACAGCCGGGCAGCGGCCCCG